GAATGTTTTAGACTAACTTTCTTTGAATTTTATATTGTTCTTCGGTCAAGCAATGATCTAATGATTTCTCTTTCTTTGGCTTTATTATCGCAATATATCCTTCGGTGAATGGCTATTACGTAAAATAAAGAAACAACATAAAAATTCGGTTCAATATAATATCTCATTAGCCAATTCCCATAAAAAAAGATACAAACCTTTCGTTGAAACAGATCAAATTCTTGCGCAAGTCGCATATTGACATCCACCATCCAACCCACGACGCAAGCCTTGACACTATAGGCTCTTCCCTCATCTGTCGTGATCACGCAAATTTCGGAGTCGATTGACAAAGGATTCTGTCGTTTCTTGTTGATTGAATCTACGACTTTGGTATTATATTGAATATTCTTGATTTTTGGCAGTTGGTGATTTGTGGGTGATGCATATTGAAGTAAAGGATGCGCGGGTGCTAACCCTATGACGCACAACCTATCGTTAAAGAAAATCAGGTTAGCCGATTACCAAACCGATATTTAAATAACATAGTTCAAAATCCTTCTTTTTTGTTTTTTTTTTTTTTTTTACTTATTCGGTGCTTGGTAAATATAAAAATCTTCTGTATTGTTTTCATCTGACGAAAATTGAAGTCACCTCAGCCAAAAATTACGTTATTATTCGAACGACGACGGGTATCGATACTCACTAGTATTTAAAAAGAAGTTCTTGGTATAATACTGGCCTAGATAAGAATATTCGTCCTTCTCGTATGACTCTAAAGTCTTTTCGTACTCTTTCAGATCATAGATTGGATTGTTGATCGATTCAAAGGTGCTCATCTTTGGAATGTCGAGATCGCCTTTGACCTTTATATACTTCCCGACCGACACTGTGTAACAAGGCTGATAAATTTATATAAAAAAGCTTTACTATTTAGCCTATTATAATGAAATTTAAAAAAGATTAATAAAAAAGCTACGGTAGCTCCTTAAGTCAGGCCAATAGCATGCATGCTTTATTATATCAATAGATTATTTAGTATAAAATATACAGTATTCAAGCAAGCGTTATATACTATATAAATCTTTAAGTTTGTTTATGAAAACAATAAAATGTTTTATAAATACTTTGAATTAACATTCTTTTTTATTATAATTGTTAAGGTCAATTAAATAAAATGGAAAATTATGTTAGAAAAAAGAA